CCAGCTTCTTGGATTATTTGCTCAGCATACAGGTTGAGTAAGTACAGTGAAAGAATACAACCCTGTCACACACCTTTCCTAATTTTAAACCATTCAGTGTTCCCATGTTCTGTTCAAGCAACTACCTCTTGGTCTATGTACAGGTTCCTCTTGAGCACAATTAAGTGTTCCAGAATACAAATACTTCACAATGTTGTTCATAGCTTGTCAAGATCCACACAATCAAAGGCCTTTGCATAGTCAATAAAGCACAGGTAAACATCTTTCTGGTATTCTCTGCTTTTAGCCAAGATCCATCAGACATCAGCAATGATAAACCTCGTTCCATGTCCTCTTCTGAATCTGGCTTGAACCTCTGGAAGTTCTCTGTCAATGTATACTTACAGCCATTTCTGTATTACCTTTAGTAAAACTGTACTCGCATGGGATATCAAAGAGATTGTCCGGTGATTTCCGTATTCCGCTGGGGCACCTCTCTTTGGAATGGCACAAATACAGATCTCTTCCAATCAGTCGGACAGATAGTTGTCTTCCAAATTTATTGGCAGAGATGAGTGAGTGCCTCCTGTGCTGCTTCACTTTCTTGAAAGTGGCTGGTGGGCTCAAACCATCAATCTTTTGGTTAGTAGTCCAATGTTTAACCCACTGTACCACAGTGGTTATTGTTGTTAAGTGCCATTCAGTCAGCTCTGACTCACAGTGACCCTATATAGGGTTGCCAAGGAGCAAATGGTGGGAGAAAGATCAGGCCGTCTGCTTCCATAAAGATTGAGAGCCTTGGAAACCCTATGGGGCCTTTCTACTCTGCCTTATGGTGTTGCCTGAGTCATCCTCTACTTGAAGGCAGTGAGAATGTTGTTTCTGTGTCCCATCAAGCTGATGCTGACTCAGAGTGACTCTACAGGATACAGTAGGACTGCCCCACGGACTGTCATCTTTACAGAAGCAGATAGCCAGGTTTGTCATCCATGGACCACTACATGTGTTTGAACCACGAACCTTTCGGTTAGAAGCCAAGCGCTTAGCCAAGTGCTACCAGGCCTCCTTATGAAGGTGGAAATTATTCATATTTGCAGTGATCTACCTTTTCCCACAGTGACTGAGTCTTCACATCTTCAAGTAATACTGGAGACTTAACACTGGATTTGCTTGTGACTTCTGCAGCTTTTAAGAACAAGTAAAAAAAAAACATGAAGCATTAAAGATAAATCAAAATATAAGTTATACATTTAGATAAACACTGAAAATAGGCCCTACTGTTATGGTATTTATACATTTACACTCAAGCTATGCAAAATATTCACAAACAAAATATATATTGCCATTGCAAGTAAGCATTTATGTAAAAATCTTCAAATTAATTAGAACTAGATTGGTGGAATTATGAAATTTTTACTAAAGATTATTACCTGGAGTTTGTATTTGAATACTTCATTCTGAAAACCCAGGGTCAACAACCCTCAGAAATCTTATAACTATCAAAGGTTTGAGGAAATTCTTAGACTGAATAACACAGCAATGGAACACTTACAAGTTCAGTAAAACTTCATTAATGCCTGGGGCTTGAAAAAGTTTGTGGAAAATGGAATTAAAAGATAATGGAATGAACTTTTGGAAGCCTCCTCATATAAGTTAGATTTGATTTATTTTTAAGAAACTTGAGATGAATAGCCAGTAAAGGAAACAGAATTCAATGTCAGCAATAAGACTCTGGAACCTAGTACAAATTCCCTATATACTAGCAGCTGTTATTCTTAAGTGCCATAGAGTCAGTTCTGACACCTAGTGACCTGGTATAGGGTTTCCAAGAAGTGGCTACAATAACAATAAAAATGCAAATGGGGAGAATTTTTTTAAATTAACAATAGGGAAAAAG